CACACAGGAGGTCACCACCAAACATCCACGCAAAAAACAAACCCAAAGCCACACTGACTATGAGGCACGACCACAAACCAGAAGCCAGACCACAGCTGCATCATTAGCCACTTTAAACCCCCCCAATCCATACATGAAGCAAACTGACACCCTCCATGAAGAGGAAGCACGACCACGAACGCGAAGCCAAGGAATGGCAGGGCAGCCCAAAATCTTGAATCCCTCTGCAACTCAGACTAACCTGAGCACAACCAAACAGAACACTCCCCCAGCCAATCAGAGCACAGCCAACCCCCCAGCCAATCAGAGCACAGCCACCCCCCAGCCAATCAGAGCACAGCCACGCCCCTAACCAATCAGAACACACCTCCACCCAATCAGAACACAGCCAAGCTCCCACCCAATCAGTTCATACCCCCACTGGCAGTTAAAAGGAAGAAACAGCTAAGACCACACATTGCTGCTCGAGGCACGAAGCTGAAAGCACCAGCCTGAAGATGACGAATGGGACTTCGTCGAAACGTCGCCAAGACACTTCCAATTTTACGTGGGAGAAAACCCGAACAACCAAAGACCTACATATATATATATATATATATATATATATATATATATATATATATATATATATATATATATGGTTGTATATTGGTTGTATATTTTGATAATCATTTAATCAGTGCAATTAAAAACAATTTATGATTGGCCAATTAGTTGATATTCTTGTTAATAACATTTACAACATTGCTATTGTCATAAGCAGTTCCACAATTAATTTGCTGTATATTATTTATAATTCATATGTGACCTTGGAAGGTAAATTTTCTGTCTTTCTGCTTAACTGATTCTGCTTGACTCTGTGCTATTGTCAGGGTAACATCAACACATACACACACACAAACAGAAAACACTAACAAAAACTTTGTTTCTATACTGCTTATTTACAAAGGCTCTGGGGACATAACAATAAAAAAAACAAATAAAAAGAATCTTCTTATAAATAATAAATGAACTCACCTGTAAAATAAATCAAATAATAACTATTGAAAAAGCAAAATATTATTGTAGAAGGAGACCAATGAAAAATATCAATTAAAGGAGTAAATGCTATCTTAGTTTCAGAAAATAATAGTTTACCATTTGGACATGCACTGAAATAATATTAATTAGCAATCTAATTCTATATACAAGGTCTGAGTAAATATGGATTGTAGTTTCTGAAATGTCTATAATTGTTCCAATGTGATTCATAAACAATCTGAGATTGCCTGAGATAGCAAAATAAATATGAACAATAAAAGAGCTTGTAACAACTTGGGCTGTCTTATAATTGTGTACAACTTTCACTATAAAAACTAATCAACTGTAAATGCAATAACAACAATCCTGCAAAACAGTAGAAGGATTCATATATGATAAATATCAGGCTTTTCCAGATTTGGTTTATTCATTTATGTGATACACTATCTTAAGACAATAAAACATATTGAGATGGCTTCATTAGGTTTACATTCCAGTTATATAAAATTATATATAGACCCTACATAATGGAATGTTGTACTGTGGTACACTCCAAATACACTTGTAATCCTTTTCAAAGTCACCCTGACTATCTCATCCTTCATTTGCATTCCATTTTCTCAGTCCAGCAATCAAACAGTCTATTGTATTTCATTTGGTTCTTTGTAAAAAATATTTATTTACTGAGGTTTATATGCTGCTCCAATCCAACAGGACTCTGAGCAGCTTTCACTTCCTTTACAGTAAAAGTGTTAAAAATGTAACAATAATAAAATAAAATAAAATAAAATATCTAACCAAAAACCCTGCAGTAAATGGCCATTTTGGTAATGGATCTATTGCCTTTCCCATATGCAATGATTTGGCATAAAATAATTTTCTAATATTGTTATTGAAAAGTATTTGCAATATTTAGTTTTTGGTCTTCTGCCTAAATGCCTAATTGTATTTTACTAATAGAAATAGAATGGACTCCAATAGGGGAGCATCAAGATGGAGGTGATTGATAGATTAAAAACAGATCCTTGTCCTCCGCCCGATTGGATTTATGTGCTTTAGCTTTTGTATAGGTTTAACTTTTTTTAGATTGTAAGCCACCTAGAATTACCACCTAGAATATGCGGCCAATACATTTTACAAACAAAGAAACAAATAAAATGTTTATAGTATTTACAGAACACAAAGGAATCTCCTTGTGTATTGGCTATCAATGTATTTCCTTGCAAATATGCTGCACAAATTCTCCAGCAGATGGAGTATCTTGATTGCTTTTCTTTGAAAGTTCTGAATTAGGGAAAATGTGTTGGGGAAGCAAAGCCATTGCTTTCATTGTCTCAAGTACTGTTTTATTTATTTACAAGGCTTTTCAGCTGCTACCTTGTTTCTAAGTGGAAAACACTTGTGGACATTTTGCTAGTAACCCCCCAAAAATGATATTAATTTTGGGATTTGACAATTAGAAGTGTTTATGATTATAGAAATCTTGGGTATTACCAAATTTTAAATGAAAATATTAATTTGTTTATATTTGTAACTATCGAAGAAAGTTGGAAACTATTCTGTCTTTATTTTATTAGTTTTTTTTATTCTTTTGCCCTTTCCTTTCCCCTATGTTTTCGTTTTTTAATAAATTCTTATTTATTTTTTATATTTTATGTTTTGTAGAAAATTAGTAAGATACAATATATTTAAAAAAGCTTTTAAGCTATTCCAACTAAAGCTGACTCTGAGTGAAAGATAATGCCCAACTTCATAAATTCAGATATAAACAAACAATGGAACAAAGTGATATAAATAATAATAGAACATATCCTTAGCAAAAAGAAAAGAAGCAAGTGAACAGACGGGAATTTCATAATCAAAGGATCAAAAAAAAAATACCATTCTCCACCGGAGGGAGCAATTTTAACATCCCAACTGCTGGGACCTAATGGAACTGCCATATTTCAACAGACTTTCTAAAAACCAGGAGGAAAGGAGCCATTATGATGTCCTGAGGCAAGCTAGTTCAGAGCAAATGTTCTATAACTGCAAAAAGCAGCTCCTAAGACAGGGGTGTCAAACTGCCGGCATGTGGGCCGTATGTGTCACCGGGAAACCATGCCCACCCCATTGCCAACAATGGGGAAAAAGCTCTGATACGTTGCGTGACATCACATGACATCGTGAGTTTGACATGTCTGTCCTAAGAGAAGTAACTGAAGTATGACCACCCAACTCAAACTAATTGGGAATGCAGATGATATTGGGAAATGACGATCCTAGAGATTCCGAACCATAAAAGACTTTAAAGGTGACAAAACATTACATTAAAATGAATGATAACCACTGTAGTTTTCTCTTAAAGTTCTGGAAGACTTTTTTCCCTGTGGTTTATTCCTTGTTTGGGTCAAACACTAGACCTTGTAATTCAGAATTAAAAAAAATATTTATCACATAAGCCATTTTTTTCAGAGGATGGCTACATACTTAGTACCTGGAATCTGACAACCGGATAACGTAAATGGATTCTCTGTGTCCTCACCAAGGCCAAAAGACTAATATTGCATTATTTGAAAGATAAATGTATAGCCCCTTTCATCCAGTGCAGTGGTGGGATTCAGTCAGTTCTTACCAGTTCAGCAGAACCGGTAGCTAATTTTTTGTTGCCTGGGCCCAGAAAGGACTTCCAGAAGTGGCATCCACACAAAGAACCGGTTGTTCACATATTTGAATCCCACCACGGACCCAATGGATTGAAGACCTGATTGTCTTCCACCTATGAGTAGATTGCCTAGAGACATAGACTTTGTATGGACAAATGCAATGAAATGTGGGACTCATTTATATAAACTACAGTTAAAATTATAGTTATATCAATGTATGAGAAATGTATTTGAATAATTGCATCAAGTAACTATCTATAGAATTGTAACTATTAACAGTTAGGATGATATATTACCGGTATACCTTTTTTTCTTTTTCTTTTGTTATATTTTTTCACTTTTTTCAAAAAATATTTTTGCATCTTTTTGTCATTATTTTAAAAACAAAGAATAAATTTAAAAAATAGACTGTTCTGCTTGAAAATGTATTCCCTTGAAATACAAGAAGGTTCTGAACAACCCTCAAAGAAGTTTATTAACTGTTTCCAATTACTCCCTTATTCATAGGATTTGTATCTATAAGACAGAACTCAAATAAGATATAGGTAGTCCTTATTTAGCAACTGCTTCATTTAGTGACTGTCCACAGCTACAACAGTGATTAATAAATAACTGTACGACCAATCTTCATATTTACAATCTTCACTAGTTTATAAAGCAAAGGAAATCTGAAGTAAGATCGTAAGCACAATTTGGTTTCACTTAGCAACTGTTTTGCTTAATGATCAAGTTGCTGGTCCTAATTGTGATAGCTAAACAAGACTATCAGTAGAGAACCGAGAAACATACCATCAAATAAAACAGATATAGAAACTAATAATCTAGGAGCCGTGATGATGCAATGGTTAGACTGTAGTATTACAGGCTGACTTTGCCCATTGCTAGGAATTCGATCCTGACTGGCTCAAGGTTGATTCAGTGTTCCATTCTTCCGAGGTTGGTAAAATGAAGACCCAGATTGTTGGGGGCAATGTGCTGACATTTGCAAACTACCCAGAACGAGCTGTAGAGCACTATGTGAGCAGTATATAAGTGCTATTGCTATTGATATTCTGAAATCCACAGTAGATCCTTTGATTTACTTGGTAACTTTAGAAAATGAGAATAATAAGGAATGCTCTAATCTTTTATTGCCTTCAACCCAACTCAGTGGTGGGATTCAAATATGTGAACAACTGGTTCTCTGTCTGGATGCCACTTCTGGAAGTCCATTCTGAGCCTGGGCAACAAAAAATTAGCTACCGGTTCTGCCAAAGTGGTGCAAACTGGCTGAATCCCACCACTGACTCAACTGCTTTTCAAAAGACTCCTCCCTGTTCCCCTCCTGCCAGAGCAGTTACTGAATTTTATTGGACAAAATCAAAGGCCCAGCAGCCAATCACAGAACTGTTGCTATATCATACCCTGAGAACCCATGACTGCTCTCTTCAAAAGCTAAGAAGCCTTCAGTATTGAAGTGAGGGGAAAAATTTGCTTCTGCTGCCCAAAATATATGGATTTCTTTCTGATTGCAGCCCTCGGTGTTTCCAATACTTCTTTCTTAAATACTTGCTTTCCCAGCTACAGTTAAAACCGTCAGGGGAGAGGAAGAGGCTGGAGAAAAGCTGCTGAGGGGTCTGGCTGAGGAAAATGGCAAATAAAAGCTTGAACAAGCTTGCATTTGTGGACGTGTGATAGATGAAACCATTTTAAAGCTGCAAAATTGCTTCACATGCCAGCTGTTTTTATTCTGGTGGAATATTTTTTTTATTTATGAATAAAAATATTTATTTATAAATAATTTATTTATTTTTTATTATAGGGAGGGAAGTTAGTAGGATATTAGAACTGAAGTAAGGGGGGGGGGCAGCACCATCTTCCCCTCAAATAATGTTTGAATAGATTGGTGTATACAAATGTTTTCCCTTTTTGAATTCTCCATTAATTTACTTACACAACTGAAAACAAAGTTGGAGGAGAAATCAGACTGACCAGATATCAATCATGTTGTTAAGGGGGAAAATATGAGGAAGCACCTTAAGCTCATGTATAAAAAATAAGACAAATAACTTAGAGATAGTTTCTCACAAACAGGGGATCACCTGCTGTATCTCTCCATGGTTAGTCTCTGAATGGCTTGTTAATATGAGGTAATTTTTGTAATGCTGCGCTTCTGCCCCTTTGCTCTTCTAAGCATAGTGCTGAGCAAAAGGATGCCCCATCCTTTGCCCCTGCCCGGATATGTCTAGTCCCCACTCATGGATCCATATGTCAAATAATCTTTGAAATTTAAAAAATACCCTCCTGGATTTTTTAAAAAAAACTTTACAGACCAAACCAACTGGATTGTACCCTTCTTTTATCATATCTCTTCATTGCCCACTTAGCCATCTTTTTTTATTTGTTTGTTTTTCCTTATAGGAAAGAGTTTCAGTATTCCCTAAATATAGTAAATGTAAAAAAGAAATATGCATATATATATTTGTATATAGCTGCAGTTTTTGTTTTGTATTATTACGTTTTTAAGTACATTGTTGTATTGTTCACAACTGTCATGCACAACTTGAGGCACTGATCTTACTTCCCCATCTGCATGGAAGCTAAGAGTGATCAGTCTTACGCTGTATGATTGGGAATAATGATTATAACAATTATTAATGAACAAGTTTGAATATAAGAATTAGAATAAATCAACAAACAATAAAACAAATATTATTTGAGTGATTCCCTGCTTTTAAATTTAGGTTGCAAAATGGCTGACACTCTCTTAAGCAATCTGGACAAACTGCTGCTACAACTTGGTAGGTTGGAAAGTTTCATTCTAAAAAATAGTCACTAAAAGAAATTTGTAACTTTTTATCCCAGGTATTCAAAATTTTAGAATTATCTGAATTAATTGTGCAGATGGCCCTTATATAATCTCTTTATGAGAGGATGTAATATTACATAGAAATGACACTAGTTATAGTCTCACTAAAGCATTTCTTGGTGCAGACAATGGTTTAAGAAATTACATATGGAGCAATGTTGTTTGGAACAGAATAGAATTACAACTAAAGATCATTCAGATATTTGCAGATCAGATCTTTTAACCCTGAACTTTTCTATTACTTCTCATTTTCAATTTGCTTTTTCCTATTCCCATTTCTATTATTTTGCCTTCTGGCTTATTTAAATGGATATTACAAGGGGACGCTGTAAGCAAGAAAAATAATTCTAAACTGTAATAGTAAAAGTAATTTGGAGATACAGAATTAGAGCCAGAATAAATAGGGAAAATTGCATACTATGATTCAACTACTTAAATTCATGTAGAATGGCAATAAATATTGACCAAACTATGACTGAAAATGCATATTTCTTTTTTACATTTAAATGTTATTTATATCAATACAAAACATGTATATATCTTGTTCAGTTTTTCAGCTTGAACAAGCATCTTACTCAAAGGAATATGAAAGACAACAGATACAGCGTGAGTATATTTTATGAATATATAAAAAGGATGTAATATTATAGCAAAACATCAAGCCATGGTTCAATTCATGGATTTATTTTTACTTTTGCAGACTGAGTTTCATTTTGAATATTTAATATTTCATGAATATTTAATATTTCAGATTATAGAATATTTCATATTATTACTACTTTCCCCATAGCAGCTTTATTTCTGTCTTCCAATATCTTAGATATTATCACTTTAGTTATTTTCTTCCTTGCAATTTTCTCCCTTACATATCTACATATCATAATACAAATATGAAATGCTAGAGATACTTCATCATTTCACAAAATACCGGTAAGTTTTGCCATTTTGGTGTCACTGTGGTTGGGAACAGATGCTTATGTCTATGCTATGTCACAAAGTGTTTGTTTCAATCTTAAATTCTTTATATACCAACGTAAAAAATTATTTTCAGTATATACTGCAAACATTTTGAGGGAAAAGAGTGAAATCTGCCACCTACATGAAGAAATAAATAAAAGTGAGGAAGCAATTCTTAGCTTATGCAGACAAAATAATACTAATAAAGAGAACTGTAACATGTAAGTATATTGTATATACTTATATTTATTTATATAAACTATTTTTATGCTTTTTTTACTTTATTCTTCTCTTCACTGGAAAAATTTTCAAAATCAATAAAAAATCAATAAAAATAATTGTCTATAATAACACAGTGATGTCTAAATGATGCCAAGTGATCAATGACATCATCACATAATAATGCAATTATGCTATTATGTCACAATACAAGTTACAAATATGTAAGTCATGACATATATGCAATGATGTCATATCTGCTTGCACTCCTTAAAATTGCTTCCAGATTGCACCCAAAGGAAATTGTACAAAGCTGAAAATATGCAGAGTAATGTAACTCAAATCATCAAGGGGTTAAAACAATTTTCCTTTGAAGAATGTTTGCAATATTGAAGGCATAATCAGGATAAAGCAGTTAAAGGAAAAAATGGAAAATAGCAAATTGATAACATTTAACTTGTCATTCAAAATGCAGTGCACTAGAACATAATAACAGAATTGGAAGGGACCTTGGAGGTCATTTAGTTCAACTCCCTGTATGAGCAAGAGACCCTATATCATTTCAGACAAGTAATTGCTCAATCTCTTCTTAAAAGCGTCCAGCGATGGGGCACCCACAATTTCTGGAGGCAGGTTGTTTCACTGGTTAATTGTTCTCACCTTTAGGAAATTTCTCCTTAGTTCTAGTTTGCTTCTCTCTTTGATTAGTTTCCATCCATTGTTTCTTGTCTTGCCTTCTGATACTTTAGAAAATAGGTTGACCCTCTCTTCTTTGTGGCAACCTCTTAAAAATTTGGAACACTGCTATCATGTCTTCCCTAGTCCTTCTTTTCACTAGGCTGGACATACCCAATTCCTGCAACCATTCTTCATATGTCTTAGCCTCCAGCTACTAATCATCCTTGTTGCTCTTCTCTGCACTCTTTCCAGTGTCTTAACATCTTTTTTATATTGTGGTGACCAAATATAAAAAAGACACTGGAAAGAGTTCAGAGAGAATTATATTATAGCTTTGTTACTTCGGACAATTCTTATGCTGGCTCAACAAATAGATAATTATTATTATTTTAAACTTACTGATCTAGCTGGAAACCAACATATGTGATTTTGAAAAAACATGAAGAATCTTTACAGAAAGAACTTCAGAATTACCAAGAAGCAACAGAAAAAGACAAGTATGCAAAGACATTTGAACATTTCAAAGACATTTCATTTTACGACTTAAATATCTGTATTATGTTTACTAACCAGAATAGGATAGAGTTTTTAAAATCAAACATATTTTTTATTAAATTAAGAAAAATAAAATTAATAAAATATATATACTACAGTGCTAAAAGATTGAATACATAAGACTGAATCAATCAATGACAGAATTATTCTGAAATAATATAAAATATTATTTTAAGGGGAAAGAGTGATTTACAAACCCACATTATGGGAAAAAAACATTGAAATTACAGCCTTACATCTTTTGGCAATAGGGATACAGTCTTTTGGCAGACTGTATTCATGATGCGTAATCTGCCTTTTAGGAATCTGAGAGCTGAAGAGCAATGTCCAATGATCTATTTTATATCCAGTGACCTACTAGCCATATTTTGTTAAATGATTAGAGATAGTTATATTATGAATAATTTGATGTTCTATTCATTAATAAATAGAAGTGAAAATTGCATTTGAGAACAATATAAAGTATTTTTTCATGGGCAGTTAAATTAGGATGCCACATATGTTAATAGTAATAATATGTATTAATAATAAATACAAATTGTCAGAAATATTCACAGTTAATTAAATAATAGCATATGGTGTTAATATTGTTGCAAAACTTCAGTTGAACAGAGTATATATTGTAAAATGTGCTAATCCTTTGAAAATACAATTAATCACCAGTGAAAAATGACTCTATTTTCTTGTTTTAAAAGAAAACTGTACCAGGATTCTATGAATCAATATCAAGAAGTTTTCAGGCAGCACCAAGCAAAATATTTAGAGACTACAATTGCCCGAGAATATTATCGTGAAAAAAAAGAATATGAAGAAATTCAAGATCAAGTTCAACAAAATTCCAAATTACTTAAGCAGAAAGAAGCTGAATTGATAGATCTTCACAGTAAAATATGCTTTAAATAATTTTAATTTCATTTATGCAGAGTCTTTAGTTATGTAGACTATGAGTTAAAATAAACATAAAAGTTAAATTATTGTTTCAGAATATTTTCCCTTATAGGCATATTTGAAATGGCATTTCCCCCTGAAATTAAAAGCTATTGATAAAGATTGCATTATTCTGAAATCTGTTATATTATGCTTAATGTGTCTGTTTGCTTTTTTTTAAAGACTACTTATTTGGATTAATACTGTATTTTATACATAGATTAATTAATTTTTCATTCTCATAAACTTAATTTCTACATATTCAGTTCATAAACACTTTCTAGAACTGCTGATTTGGATTTCTAATGTTACATTTTTTTCCAAAATACCACGAGATTTGTAAGTATGCATAAATGTATCTATTTACATCTTCCAAAACTAATATGCCAAAAAAAGAAAAAAACTGGACAGGATTGGTATGAAGTAGAATTGTTCTGAGACATAAAATTTAGGTTTAACTAAAATTGGAAGGAATTAGCAAAATTCATATACTGAATGTTTTCAAAGAAAAAAAAGATTCTTAATAAAAGAAGAGATGGGACAACAATCATTAAAAGATGTATACCTGAGTATCATGAATATTGTGTTACTATGACACAAATTCATAGAAACTAGATAGGTGGTGATAGCTTTCTGAATGATTTTTTAGTATATTAGGAAGGAATTGTGGTTTCTGATAGCAATAGCAATAACCCTCACCCACTCACTAAAACTGCTATGTGAGCAAAATCATAAATGGGTGTATTAACTAATATTACTGCTATTATTATTATTAATAACTATTTCTATTAGAACAATAGAATAAACAACTTGGACCGTTTTCCTTCTTTGCTGTTTAATAAGATGCAGAACAGTTATGAGATTAATTCATTACCATCTTTTTTCCAGAACCTGGTCCTTTCCAGTCACTTTCTTCATGGGCAACACATATGTATCCATTCAACTCCTATTGATTCTATCATGATAGTTGCAAGCTGTTATGTCAGTTGATAAGCACATGTAGCAATAATGTATTTTGCCACTTAAGAAACTAACTAAATTAGAATGACGAGAAGTAATTGTGGACAATGCTCATATATTCAGGATACGTAAGTGTAATCAAGCTCCATATAGGGAAATAGGAAATACTAGTTTAAATTTGGTTTAAAATGATTACACTTAGTTAAATAAACTATCACAATAATTAGTTATATATTATTTTTAGAACTACTAAATGTAAATTGTTATCCATCCAATATACATCGTGCATCTTAAATTTTGGGGATAGAATTTAAAGCAAATTTGGCTTATAGCCTATGTCTAAAAATGGACATGCCCTCACTATTCTTCATCTCTCCCCTATATGTCTCTCTAGTTTTGTTTCAGTAGCTCCCTCAGTCCAATGAACCAATTTGAGATTTGAGGAGGGATTACACAAGAGCAGAGTAATTTGTTTTATTCCTGGATACCATTCTATCAGAGTATAATACCAGTGTACATGCATTCAATACATTGATGCAATTTTATTTCATGTTTTATTTGAAATGGAATTAACTATCTTGGTCCCAGATTTATAGAAGCTAGCAGAACTTCATCTTTTCAAAAGTTTTATGTAATGTTTTCTAAACTTTTGAGCATTTAATATACAAATTATACCATGACCACTAGACTGCACTGTAGCCTAATCCTCAATTTAATTTGAAATACTAGGACCAATTGTTGGAAGTCAATTTCACATAATTAAAATGCTATATGAAATTAACACAATATGCTGCATGTTAGTTACAAGTTAGCAATTTTTAAAATATTTGAATGTGTCTTATATTGTATACTTTGAGGGGGCTAATAACAAATGATTCATCAAGATGTTAATCACAAACTGGTAAATTTGGATGGAGAATAAAATTATCCAAATTATGGAGAATCAATTCATTGATTTCAGGTATTTAAATGAAAATGAACTCTTCATAACTATGAGCAGAATTGTGGTCCCTTTTAGGTTTTTATCTGAATGTTAAATTGTATGTTTTATTGACTCCTTAACATATGAAAGTGCTTCTCTGCAGCAGAACACAAAGGAAACTCTTACTCATGCAGCAGTTCTCAAGCAGCAATCAGTTGAACTTGTCAGAACTGCAAAAGAGCTAGAAAAGAAAATGAACTACTTCAAAGAGGTAAGTGCTTATGTTGCAGTCTATGTGAACATGTCACTGCATCAGATCACAGTGGAAAAGTAATATATTAGAGCATGGGTATCAAACTCGCCACGTCACGTTATGTGTCGCGATGTATCATGACTTTTTCCCCCCTGCATTGCCGGAGCTGGGATGGGTGCGGCCTCCACATGATGCAACCGGCCCATGGGCCGGCAGTTTGACTCCCCTGTATTAGAGACTGGAGTGTATGAAGTATTTCTGAAGGTGGGAATCTAATCTAAGCAGTGATTAATGAATAACTATATTTATAACTATAACAGAAAGGAAATGTATTTATAAGAAATACATTATAAGGATAAGTGAAGCCTAACACCTAGTTAAGTACATTCTGCCAGGAGAAAAGTCAAAGACTATTTGGTTTGTGCATGTATGCACGGAAAGTTAGACAGAAATAAGTGACTTCAGATTAGCTGTGTGACTCACAGGGTTAGGTTTTTTTTTTTTTAGGAAAATAGGAGGAGGAAGATGCTCTCTATCTTGAGTTATTTATAAATGTAATAAAGATGGGATAAAAATAAACAAATAAAACATTTGCACAAAATAAATGCATTTTATCTTTTAGCATTTAGGCAATGTTACCAAAGATCAAAAGCATACTGAACAGATGGAAGAGGATTCTAATGTGATAGAGGAAAGAGCAAAAAATCAAGAAAGAAAGAAGGACTTTGATGAAAGGTGGCATTTTAAAATCAAATTTATCACACTAAAACATGAGTTATAAAGAGGTTGCTGAACGTTGAAATCTTTACTGTCCAAAAGTTTTCCCCCTTACAAATTCATACTATTATAAATTGTATCTGCTTTACTTACTATTTTGCAGAGATATTTCTGTTCTAACAGGTTTAAATACAGGTTTTCAATATAATATTTACACATAAATTGACTAGTGTAAAAAGGTTCATATTATTAAGGTGACCAACTTTTTTACAATGAAAAGGAGGACACAAATAAATTGAAGAAAAAAATATTGTAAATAAAAGAAACATTTTATTCATTGCAACAATAATACAGAATACACTATAATATGATAAATGCATAATAAAAAACATTTGTAACAATAACATTTTATATTGTAATTATGCTTACATGCCGTGCCCCCGCCCTCAGCCGCCCCACCAGCATTGCTGCCCTGCCGTTTAGAGCGGGCCCTGCAGCTCCCAAAGCACCAGCTGCACCTGCTCCGGCCTCGGGGGGCAGCCCGCTGTTGACACACCCCACCTGCAGCTGCTCCACCAGCACCACCACCCACCCTGCGCAACCTGTAGAGCAGGCCCCGCAGTTCCCACAGCACGGAGGGCAGCCGGCCACCGCCGCCCCTCACACCCCCGCCTGCAGCAGCCCCACTGCCCCTGCCTCTTGTGCCCACAGCCATTATTGCCCTAGCAGGGCCGAAGATCAAGAGAAAGCTACCATGGCATCGCAGCTCCAGTCTCCTCCAGGTATCTTCGGGACTAACTAGGAGATGGTGTAGTTGGGTAACAGGGAGGAGTGCAAAGTTCCTGCCAATACACCTTCGCTGCAGACAACTTACTTGTGCAAAGTTTGCCGGCCAGATGTTTTGGCGTGCTCAGCAGCAATTCCTATTGGCTTTCAAAAGCCAATAGGAGTAGCACAGCTCATGCAAAAGTTGAAAAAAAAAACATCAAAAAAAGGTGCCAGAACGCCGTTCTGAGCGTTCTATGAGAAAAAAAAGCCCTGCAGATTAGTCTTCAAATATTGAAAAGGAGGACGTGTAGGAGGACACTTTTTGAGGGAGGACAGAACTCACAAAAGGAGGACTGTCCTTCCTAAAGGAGGACAGTTGGTCACCTTAATATTATACTTTTCTAATGTGAAAATTCCCTTGCAGTGATTACCTTAGAGTGGAATAGAGTCATCTTATATTGCCTAAAAAATATAAAAGGGTAGCTATGTGATCCTGGGAAAAGATGTGACTCAGTGGTGGGATTCAGCCGGTTTGCACCACTTCAGCAGAACCAATAGCTACTTTTTGTTGCCCAAGCCCAGAATGGACGTCTGAAAACGGCATCCACACAGAGAACCGGTTGTTCACATATTTGAATCCCACCACTGGTGTGACTGTTCTAAGAAGTTGTTGTTGGCTCCTAGATCAAAACATTTGCAGCAATAATGTACTTGTTTTCAAAAAGAAAAGTTTGTGTTAACAGTTTTAGTCATAGGTAGGTCAATAATTCTGTAACAATTTGGTATTTTTCCTATGCTTCTCATATTTCTATTAAGCAAGTTGCTCAATAGACATTATCCAGTGAGGACATTAGATTAGATTATCCATTTTTGTATATTCTTACCTTTTATTTCAAAGTAAAATAAAAGATGTGTCTCATATATTTCCATGTTTCTTTCATTGATTTAAAACTTTCTTTCAGCTTGTTCAAAGAGAGTCAACATTTATTGAATGAGAAAGAACACACATTTAAACCACTTAATCTACCTAGTATTTTTCAGAAATTAGTTCAAAGTGTGCCAACTGTGAAACCACTATTTCAGATCACAGACAGAGGTAACAAAATATTAAGAGATTTAGTTGTGAGATTTTGAGGTATATAATCTGAATATTGTAGAATATATTAAGGTACTTTCCTGCATAATTTGATATCTTTGTTGCAGGAAATGCAGGTGTTTCTATATAAGTCATATAGTTAGTCAAATACAACTGACTATTTTTTGTTTTCTATGGTGATATGCCATCTTTCCCTTTCAAGGGAGAGAGACACTGTCCTGCTCTGAGCCCATAGAGCTCTGTTTTGCCCTATTTCTCTTTTCTTACAAGAAAGAAATGTCACATCCTTTGTGGGCATACTTTTCCAAGAGCCTGGCACCATTTTTTAACCTAGATGTCATCACTATCTCAAACTGAACAGGGACAAGATTATTGTACTTCTGAAATCTAAATTGACACAGAACTTTTCTTAAAACCTTTTATCAGTATAGCCATCAACATTTGTAATTTTTATTTGATGAATATTCACAGAATCCATCTGTTCTTCATGGCTGAGATTGCATAGCTGCTGATTCATGCCCTGATTTCTCTCATCTGAATAATTCTAGTAGAATGCTGGGCAGATTATATCCATATTGTTCTTTTGTTCTGAGCCTCACTGAACTACCCTTAGTGCCCTCTGTTTCTACTGTCTATACTAGCTGGATGTTTGCAGAAGGTCAGCACAAAGTTGTATCAGCATGAAATTTGTAATCCCTACAGCTGATTCATGTCCTACTGCTCCAGCCTTTGCCTTGAGTCATTGCAAACACCTGATTTCTCTCCTAACATGTTTACAGGTTATCTTTGAATCATGTTGGAATAAGGGGAAAACACCGCGTTAACATTGCTTCAGCTAAAAAAAAAATAAGCCTGGAGATAATACCAAAAAGGTGTTGCCAGGACAATTTTGTGTTATGGTGGGTGCAAATAGTGAAAACCTTACTCAAATATTGTAATTTTTTTTACTATAAGATGACTACTACTATGTGATTACCCTTTTGATATCAGTTTTATATTATTCCTATGTGAGAATCAGCTGAATAATATAGAGTTCATAATCTTATATAATACAGGTGCAGAAAAGAAAGAGGACCTGGCAGGACATTCCATAGTGACTAGTATGTATTTCAACCATGTAGAAAATGAAAATCAGGTATGCAATCTGGTATGCAAACAAAAAGCAGAAGGAATAATATGCATTCATGAGTTCAGCACAATAAAATGTATTTAAAAATATTGTAGTGCATCTAAAGATAGTTTTACAAAAATCATTCTGTTTTAATTCTATTGGGATTCTTTTTGTCTAAGTATGAGCAGAACTATCTACTATATGAAGTCCTTTAGATCAAATGCATTTTGTTTCCTTTTAAATACAGTACAGTATAGTACACAATTTCATAAAAAAACAGGAAAGTTACTTAAAAGATATACAAGGTCCAAGCATCCAATGTTCAATTCTTTAAGACATGCTAAAAATAAAATAAATAAAAACAATAAAAACAAACAAATATACTGGGATTTTACTACAACAATTTTCCTTCCAACAAAAAGGGTAAGTTAGAAAGAATATAGTAGCAGGGAGGAATAAGTGTCACTTGAGTATTATTTTTAGTGCTCTAGGAGAATGAATGGATCTTCTATCAGAATTTTATACTCCTCTTAATTTGAAATACATTTTTTTTGTTTTAGAAATGTGATAATTCAGAAACCAAGATTGTAGAAACAGATTCATCTATAACAAATGATCCCAAAGAAATATCAAATAGGTAATTTTTCAGTCATCCTACCTTCATTAATAATATGTAGTTTATGAAAATATATGAAGATAATTCTGCTGATGTAAATTATTTTCTGAATTGTTTCAGATTATTAGCTAATCACAAGAACACACTTACTAAACAGTGCTTTAACACTGAAAATACAAAAGGTAAAAACTGTTCTATTGCTTGTGCTTCCAGAATGTTGAATTCCAATATTGCATGATCACTTTCCCCTCCCAAGGTTCCTGTGGTTTCAACATCTATCATTTCATCTCTGCTAGTAAAGATTAGATCCAATATGGCTAATCCCCTATTTCCCTTCTCTACTTTTTCGGAGACAAAATTGTCTGCTAGGTTTGTCAGCAATCTGTTTGATCTTCCACTTGAGTTTGTCTCCCAGTTGATGTCAGGATAATTAAAGTCCCCCATTACTATTGTGATGTGCTTCCTATATACCTTAGTTAGCTGACTAGCAAACAGTTCATCTATTTCCTCTGTTTGGTTGGGTGGCCTATAGTATACACCTATGGCAATGTCATTCCCCCCGCCCCTTTTTATATTGACCCAAATGCATTAAGTCAGTTTTCATCATTGTTGTGCAACTCCACCTCATCTTTTGTTTGGTCTGTTTCTTTTAAATAATTTAAATCCCTCTAGCTGTATGTTTCATTTGTGGGTTTCATCCCACCATGTTTCCTTAATGGCAACAATATAATATCTGCCCTCATTTACCTGAATTTCTAGTTCACCCTGCTTACTGTTCATACTCTGTGCATTGGTGTATAGACATTTGAGTCCTTTATGACTGACCCTGTGTTTACTTTCTACATAACCTGTGTGGTGCCTGAGTTCCCCTACTTTTTTTACCAACTGTTTGGTTAGTGCACTTTGTGTGGCACTCACTATTAAAAGCTTGATTTTGCTTGACAACAAGGTTGATATTCTTGTCCACACACACATTTATGTTACATGCACTGATAACCCTATAATTTTTAGATTGCCGGGGACAATTAACTCACTGCCCTTGTTGTTAAATATTCCTCCAGAAAATTTGTGAATTTATTGCCAAGTAACTCAGTCCCTTTGTTGGATGGATTCAAACCATCTCTTTTGTACATTTTTTCATTGGACCAGCTACAGATATTGTGTAACCAAAGCCTTCCCCTTTACACCACTCCTTTAGCTACATATTGAATTCTGCTATACGCTGGCCTTTTCCATTTTACTCCTTATACACTGGTAAAACCTCTGAAAAATTAAGCCCACAGCCTATCCTGCTAAGTTCCTGCCCCAAGCTCTGGAAATCATTCTGCACAGAGAGTACATCTTTTTGGGACAGATCGTTAGTGCCAAGATTCTGGGCCCAGTGCTCTTCAACATTTTCATCAACGATTTGGACGAGGGGATAGATGAGGAAATCATCAAATCTGCAGACAGCACCAAGCTGGCAGGAATAGCCAATACTCCAGAAGACAGGCTTAGGATACAGGAGTATCTGGACAGACTTGAACACTGGGCGCTATCTAACAAAATGAAATTCAATGGTGAAAAAAGTAAGGTTCTACATTTAGGCAAGAAAAACCAAATGTACAGGAGTAGTATAGGGGGTACCTTGCTCAATAGTAGTAACTGTGAGAGGGACCTCGGAGTCCTAGTGGACAATCATTTAAATATGAGCCAGCAGTGTGCTGCAGCTGCCAAAAAGGCCAACACAGTGCTGGGCTGCATTAACAGAGGGATAGAATCAAGATCACGTGAAGTGTTAATACCACTTTACAATGCCTTGGTAATGCCACACTTGGAATACTGCATCCAGTTTTGGTCACCACAATGTAAAAAAGATGTTGAGACTCTAGAAAGAGTACAGAGAAGAGCAACAAAGATGATTGGGGGACTGGAGGCTAAAGCATATAAGGAAAGGCTGCTGGAATTGGGTATGTCTAGTTTAATGAAGAGAAGGACGAGGGGGGACATGATAGCAGTGTTCCAATATCTCAGGGGCTGCCACAAAGAAGAGGGAGTCAAGCTATTTTCCAAAGCGCCTGAAGGCAGGACAAGAAGCAACGGATGGAAACTAATCAAGGAGAGAAGCAACCTAGAACTAAAGAGAAACTTCCTGACAATTAGAACAATTAACCAGTGGAACAACCTGCCTCCAGAAGCGGTGAATGCTCCAACACTGGAAGTTTTTAAGAAGATACTGGACAGCTATTTGTCTGAAATGGTATAGAGTTTCCTGCTTCAGCAGGGGGTTGGACTAGATGACCTCCAGGTCCCTTCCAACTTTATTATTATTATTATTATTATTATTATTATTATTATTATTATTATTACTATTATTAAGATGTACAATAGCATCCACATCACAGTCCTTGCTGGTGTTCTTGACTACTTTTTATGTTTCTTTACTCTTGCTCTCCTTTCTTTTCTTTTTTCTTTTACTGTTTTATCTATTCCTTAAGAAATGTAAAAATGCTGAGATGGTTCATATGGAAAAAATAGACTTAAATTTTTAAATGTAATTAATTTTTGAAAAAATCTTAACCAGTAAGAATACTTTGAATTTTGTGGGAGAAATCTTTTTAAAATAAGGACTGTAACAGGATCTATGATAAGCTAATAAGAATGATTGGATAGAAAAGAAATATTATATTGATGTGATTATTATTTTTAGGAATATTGGGAAAAATTATATATTTAATTGTTATCTATCAAAACAATAAGAAATGTATTAACTTAATGTTTGTAAAAGAGGACGTTTTGGGGAAAAGAGGAAATCAACTAAAACCCCATTATATGGATTATGGATTATAGAAATCAATTGTTCGTGATCGTTTAACAAATGTAAACCCAGACAACACATTGTTCACCAATTATTAAGTGATTTATGTTTTAAAAAATCAATAAAATATATTACAAAAAAAAGATCATAAAAGGTGATCACATGACCCTGGGACACTGCAACTATCATAAATATGAGTCAGTTGCCAGTTTTGATCACGTGATAATGGGGATGCTGCAATGGTTGTCAGTATGAAAAACAGTCATAAGTCACTTTTTTCAGTGCTGTTGTAACTTCGAAGACTACCTGTATAAATAAATAAATATGTTAAACCAAAGTCAAAAATTGTTAGGATCCTTCATAACTACTATTTTGTACACCTAATTTCCCACATTTTATTGTTTATTAATTACACAGAAGGTGTGATGTATCTCATTTATATGGATTATACTTGCTTGATCAAGCACCAATTCTAGGGCTGTGCAAATTCTTTGAAATAAGTTCTTTGGAATACATGACTTTTTTGTATTGTTAAAGCAATTTTTCTTTTTCCAAGCTTACACAACTGTTGTGAAAGCTTTGGATGCAAACCCTGTATGTTCTGGAAGATCTGGTTCAAAGGATTTGCAGAGCCCTAATCACTGCATCCTATTGCTATTGCTATACTAGAATTATATCCCATAATTCTTTTGGTTGCTCACGGTAGCATACTTTTTATTTACAGTAGTGGCCAAAAGTGTGGAAACCTTTTGGGAAAAGTGTATTTTTGAGGTTTGATGGCTAATAACACCACTTTTGGGGGGAGTAGTACCATAAAATTATATATCAACGGAAAGATAATTTAATCAAGAATGTAATGCAACAAAGTTTGTTCAATTATTTGTATTGTATTCTATGAAATGTTATAGCCAAATAATCAGAAAAAGGAAGCACAACTCGCTTAGGTTGATATCAGGGGCTTTTCTTCATCTGATTGTAGCCAATGAGCATGAGTGTTTAAAGAGCCAATCAGGTGTCATCTTGTTTTGGTAATGAGCCAATCAGATCACAGTAGGATTCAGTTATTGATGTCATGTATTGAAGCTGAGAAAAGGACATTTGTCAGTGTGTCAAGTTGGTTAGGTTTTTTTGTGTTCTTTCATTTAGTAAGCTTGTAAAACGTAATAAAATCAATGTAATGGTGCAAAGAGTTGACTGGTTGCCCAGAAAGCGATGTAAAATAGTACTATCAAGTGAACAAGGCCAAAATTTGTGGAAACTTAACCAAAGATGGCATTTCTACTGTTCACTTTTCCCAAAAGGTTTCCACAATTTTGGCCACTACTGTATTTATTTCATATGTGTAACAGAACACAGCATTAATGCAGAAAATTTAAAAAACAGCATATAAAATGTGCTTCAAAATATAAAAACAGAACAGTTAAATATTTTAAAAATGCACAATAAGAATGATGAGTAAAATTATGAATAAAATTAAATTATATATGAGCATTTATTAGAATGGCTAAGCCTATGGCCAGATATCTAGATTGTTTAGCTATTAGACGACATACTTAGGTAACATACTTAGGGATCTCCCTTCATTTTAACCCCTCAACAACCCTTCATGAGAGATTGGGTTGAGAGATCTGGACTGGCATAGACTTACCCACTGAATGCCATGATAAAATAAGCCTGAATCACAGTGGTTCCAGTCCAGCACCTTTACCATTATATTGCATTGGTAAGTTGAAGCACTGCACGCATTGAAGTGAGGCAAGAAATGAATTAAGTATGAATGACTTCTTTGGGTAAAGTGAGGTCTTCTTTTTTTCCTTCTCAATTGATCCTACAATGCTTGGCTCTTCACCTTGTTATATCCTACATCAGATCCCCAAGTTCTTAAGGTGGCCATTGGAATATTTTGCCTCTCACCCTCTCAGTTCATTACATTTGTTTTTTATTGTCTGTTTGGGAAACCCCTTCTAGGTGCTGAATTTCTCATGGGTCCACAATTTCAGGGAAATAAATCAAATGATGGATTGTTGTTTGGTATTCTGCTTTCTGTATCTTACAATCTTTCTGACATTGATGCTAAAAGCTGATATACAGCTATGTGACTGGAATATAGCAGCATGCATTTCTCTTCTCCAATAATGTACTAGTATAATCACCAATGCTATATACCATCTTGATTTTTATAAAATATAATTTTCTGTGGTAGGAAAAAAGACTGACTACAAACAAAAGGAAAACAAATCAATGGATTCTGAAGTTATATCTCAAGTTAGTTTAACGTCTTGTTATATTGTTCTATTAAATGATTTTCAATAATTTTGAAAACCAGATATATGCTAATATTAGTTGAGTTGATGTTTGCTACTTTAAAATCCTTACATTGTACCTTTTTGGAAGGCAGCTGGTTGAGAAAAATGCTCTTCATTTAACATTCCTGAACAGAAGACTAACAGCTTCAAATCTATGTGGGTAGATTTCTCTCTGAAGACAAACTTCAGTTCTCATTCCTTAATTTATATATTGATTTATAAATTTGGATAGTGTTTTGGGTAGCGAGATGGGTGGCATATAAATTAAATAAGTACATTTATGAAATAAATAAATAAATAAATTTATATCTTAAATTTTCATATTATTGCCCCAAAAGTGATTGTTGAAAAAATTTAAAAGCCCTGAATATATTTGTGGTAGTTGTGGTTTCCTCAAATATGATATAGCAACATTTTCTTGAACAGGATAGGCAGACAGAAATTTATACTAAACCTACTGGATGTTATTCTTCAACAAGAGATGAAGATACTGCAGCAACTCCACGGCTAATAACTCCAGAGCCTAACATACTTCCAAAGACACCTGACTCTGGTGGGATGAGAACTCCATTTGAACTGTAAGCATTGTCCAAATTCAAATTTTGCTTTTCTTCAGGATCCTTCTAAAGAATGATTTTTAAGTTCCACTTAATATTTATATCTTCTTCTCTTTCATTGTACTAGATTTCCACCAGAAAGTGAAGGATTACTGGCCAAGTCACCTGCTTTTTCTTTTCTTGCTGGATTTACTTCAAAGACACAGTCACCTGCATTTAATTTTTTTGATTTTTCTGCATTTGGAACTGAGAGTTCATTAGATCAGGTAATAATAAATGTTTAGTGTACTTAGCTATTTTTTTAGGGTGATTAACCCATTCACCAGGGAAACTTTGTGTTTTTGTTAAAGATTAGGCTAGAATTGACAATATTCAGATTGAAATCCTAACTTGACTATTCTTGAATAAAAGAGGGAAGAATAATCATGATCAGGACCTAGAGTTAAGTGGAAGAAAACCAATAAAGAGGTGCCAAAGCCAAGGAACAGAGAGAAAAAGGCCTGGTTGATGCATACAGACCATGACGTGACTTTGGTCTTGCTACTATAGTTCCCTTCTGCCACATTTCAGGTCACCGTTCCACAATGCTTCTTACTGGATGCTACATTATCCCTTACTGGATGCTACATTATCCTTTCTTGTTTTTCTTCACTTCTCATCCAAGAAGCTTCTTCAACTCTGACTGGATAGTGGAGAATGGAAGGACTTATATCCCTTACAGACAGCTGGTAATTTACATTCTTTTAGAGAATTGTTGAGGACACTTGGAGATTTATCTGTGTCTTCAAGGTCACCTGAGTGGTGCAAGTGGGTGTGGAATCTTCTTGGAACTGCTGAAAGGACACCTTGTAGACTGGAGATAATGTCATATTCCCCCCCCCCTCTATTGAGGGCTGTTCAGTTTTCACATAATGGCCTCTTTGACCCTCTTTCAAACAGCAATCGTCTCTGTCCAAAATGTGGACTTTGCTGTATTCAAAAGAGTGGCCTTTATCTTTTAAATGCAGATGGTTCTCCTATGTTGTGCCATGTGTTTATGAAGTAGTTGTTTTGTTTCCCCAATGTACAGATCTGCACATGTCTCACTGCATTGTACTGCATATACAGTATGTTAGTTTGTATCTGGGTGTTTTATCCTTGGGGTGGACAAGCTTTTGCCTTAGTGTATTCTTGGGTTTAAAGTGAGCACATATGTTGTGTTGGCTGAAGACTCTCCTGAACTTTTCAAATATTCCTGCAATGTATGGAATGACAACATTGTTTCATTTATTGTTCTTTTCTGTTATGGAGGAGCTCCTGCAGGGTCTTTTGGGGGCTTTGATGAAGGCCCATTTGGGACAGCTACACATTCTCAGGGCCTCCTTGATGTGTTTTAGTTTTTTTTTTCTTTCCCATCTTTGCTGGTGGGCCGGCCTTCAGCTTGGTGATGTAGGGTTCCAATAACTCCCATTTTGTGCTCCAGTGGGGTGAGAATCAAAATGTAAATACTGATCTCTGTGTGGCAGTTTTCTGTAAACTCCAATGTTAAGGCTTCTTTCTTCCTTAATGTGTATTGCACAGTCCAGGAAGGCTAGACTATTTTCTTTAACATCTTCCCATGTGAATTTGATGTATCTGTCCACAGAGTTGCAGTACAATGCAGTGAGACATGTGCAGATCTGTACATTGGGGAAACCAAACAGCCACTTCATAAATGCGTGGTACAACATAGGAGAAAAAACCCATCAGGACAAGATTCAGCAGTCCATCTGCATTTAAAAGACAAAGGCCACTCTTTTGAAGTCAGCAAAATCCACATTTTGGACAGAGAGGACCACTGGTTTGAAAGAGGGGTCAAAGAAGCCATCAAATTGAACAGCCCTCTCTCAATAGAAGGGGAGGGATATGACATCATCTATCTCCAGTCTACAACACAGTCCTTTCAGCAGTTCCAAGAAGGCTCCACACCCATTTGCACCACTCAGGTGACCTTGAGGACACAGATAAATCTCCAAGTGGTCTAAACAACTAGAATGCAAGTGACCAGCTGTCTGCAAGAAATTTAAGTACTTCCATTCCCCATCATTCAGTCAGAGCTGAAGAACCTTCTTGGATGAGAAGTGAAATGTCTTCAAAGAAAAACAAGAAAGTCCAGTTGCCTCTTGAAAAAGCACCTTTGAGACAGCTATGAGTTGCATGACTGAGAATCTCCATAGACAGATGGTACATTATCCTATTTATACTTGATTATATATGCAAGTTAGCATTACTGTTTATATTATGCTCATGTTCTTCATTTGCCTTTCTTTATATCCTGTTATTGTGTTCTGTTCAATGTGCAGTTACAAAGATTCAACTCAGTTGAGAAACTCAGTACACTCAGTTCTGGTGATTGATTGGTTTTGATGTGGTCTCATTCTTCACCAAAGATCAAGGAGACCACATCAAACTAATCAATTTATCAGCATAATTCAAGAAGACATTGTTATATATTAAGAGAGTATTTCCTGAAGATACCACAAACCTCTTCCATCATTGTTTCATGTCCAGTTACATAACACACAACAATGAATTTTATGAGCAAAATGTGGGAATTGCTATGGGGAACCAATTTAGCCTAGGCATAGCCAATTTCTACATGAAGAAATTCAAAGGGCATGGGATATTGAACCCTTAAAGCCATCCATCTGGCTCTGGTATTTGAATGCCATTTTTGTGATCTGGAGTCCTGTTAAAGAAGTCAAGAAATCCCTAAAACATCTGAATAGCCTTCTCCAGAGTGCACTGTTGGATGAACTGAAAGATGACCTGTCATGGAGAAAGTCTATATAAGTGGTCACTAAGTGGTTACATAGTAACTTGATGGAATAATAATCAATCAATCAATCAATCATTTAGGAAAAATATGAGAAAACAAAGGATAGAATGGAAATGCAAATAATTATTCCTGGTGCATAGGACATATTTAGAAAGAAATTGGAGTATGGGACCACAAATTAAGTTGAATAATTCAGGTCAGAAAAATAACCCCACATAATTAACTATGGGTTTGCTTCCACAAGCTGTGTTGATCATCTTTAATTTATTAGAGAGGTATTAAACACATTTAAAAACAAAGCCTGTTGCAGAGGTTCTTTGATTGATGCTGTGACACCCCCCCCCCCATGAATAAAGCTAATGAGTTCTTCCTTAGTATTATTGAGTGTGCCACTGGGTATGCTCTTATCTCATTTCTTATCCTATTTGCCCATACATATGCCTACTGTGCCATTTTCTAATGAATTCACTTGGTCTTTTAGTCAGGTGAAAGCTGCTCTACTGGAAATATAAATCCAATTTCTCCACACAAAGATATTGGTAAGTTTTCATAGTAGAAATATGTTGTGACTAGCTGTTGTCTATTCATAAATTACTGAAAGGCATTTATATTGAGAGCCAGACTATGACTTTACTCTTTTAACAAAAATATTTAAAAAAGAACTCCATCCAGGAGCTAATGCCATCTTCCCAATTTATATACTCTGGAGAATTTCAAATCCAATGTTATGATTAACAATGGTGTTCTCTTTTATTTTTTATTTTAATAATGGCTTATAATCAATATTCATATGTTATTGATATATACTGTATCAAATGCTAATTCAGAATATTATTCTGTTCAAGGAGATTTCTTTGGAAAAATGGATAATGAAGACTCATTTACATTTGCATTTCCAACACTTCCTTCTGCTCAGGTTTTTCAAGATGGTAAAGAAGATTTTAATTTTCCCTTTGCTTTTGGATCTTCTGAGCAATCCACTCTAAAAGGTTTTCAATCTGCCTCAGAAAACAGAAAGCCATTTTCACTTTTCTGAATGTATCCTTAATTGCGTTGTAATATTCTACATAAAACAAGAAAAAAATAATGGAAAAAAGTGAATATAAATATTTTTAGCCATGTTGACATGTTTTCATTCAATTCTTTTTCAGTTTATAAACAGCTCTTATTTAAAAGGTTAAAGGCATCTATTCTATTTGTTTAAGTGTGTAATGTGTTTTATTGTGGGGCATACAGGGTAAGCTTTTAAATTTGCACATTAGCCTTTTCAACAGGTTTGCTGATGTTGATAAAAGAATGAGCTGTTTGTTTCTATAATGACACTAGAAATATAAAAGCAGTTTGTTAAAGTTTTTATAGTTAATAATGGCAAAATTGTTTCCCTTTGTTCTATTGCTATATATAAGATTATATTGTTACATTGTTATATGTTTTACATATAAGCAAAATATTGTTTTCAACATTTTAAAACATGAATTTTTAGAAAATGTTATAGTATAAAACAATTTAAATTGAAATAAATTTTATATCGCCATATTATAACTTCACATTTCTTCACATCTGGAAAGAAGGGACATTCAAATCACTTCCATGAACTGGTCTATTTTCAAGACAACAAAATACGATCCAATTAGCCAACAGATTATGGGACAAAGTAATCAACATATCTCTTTAATACTGCATTTTTAAAAATTAGTTTATCTTCCAGTCAAAGGTGCTAGAGGGAGAGGCAACACAAATTACAAAATAATATTGGAATCTTGCAGTGCAAACTTTGTCCCTTATTCACTGGCATGTAATTTTACAAGGCTGGTGAAAATGGGTGGTGTGAAAATGAGTGGTGCTTATAATGACATTTGAGGATTTTGGTGTCATTTTGATTAGGAACCAATGTCCGTGTTCCTAATTTGGAGCAGAGGCATCTGAAGACAAAGAACTGGCTGTAATTTCAAACCAAAGAGACAAATCATACTTTGATTCCTATTACGTTTTCTTAATGATTTGACTTAAAAAAAATCTTCTGGGCTATTATTTTGAGAGTCCACTTGCTTTACAAAATCAGGTAGACAGCAAAGGTCTAGAAACCATCCATATTTTTTGATTTTTAAATGCTGCTGAAAGATAAACATTAACTAGACATAATAGTGTGCAAAGTGCATTTGCAACCAAATCTTAATAACCAGTAAGCCAACATTCTAACAGAAATCTTTACAAGATTATAAGTTTGACATTAGCAATCTGTTTCCATTGCCATTCTGCAAAGTATAGCAAAAGACACAAGTAACCCACTCATCCAGCTATGCAAACTCTATGTTCCCCATAGTGAAGATTTAAAAAAAAGACTTCTCAGGCAGATTTGGTATTTAAGCATCTGCTATCAGTCTTCTTCATTTAGTCCTGTTTTATAATTTCTTCTTTCTTTTCATCATTTCACTCCCACCAGTTTGAAAAAAAAAAAATCTCTATCACAAGCCACAGGAAAATGGCCATGAATATTGTTCATATAAGGGAAAAAAAGCTTTCTCAGGGATTTCCACTGTCATATTTCTAGATATTCAATATGTGACAGAGTTAAGCAGGGCTTTTTTTGTCATAGAACGCCCAGAATGGAGTTCCAGCACCTTTTTTGGATGGCACCTTATAGGGTACGTAAAGTGGGTTGTATGACATGTGTTAGTTACGGCACCTTTTTTTTTTTTTTAAGAAAAAAAGCACTGGAGCTAAGTATATATAAACCAAATCTATGAGGATACAGTGAGTAAATAATAGCCCCCAATGGGACCTTATCTGGAGTAAGAAACTAAAGCAGCATCAAGATCGTTAACCTTAGAACTTAAATGAAAGACATCCAGGAAATAAAAGAGCTGTAAATTAGACTAAGCAATCAAGAAGGCAATAATAACTCCTTCTACAGTATAAAAAGTACAAAGATGGGTTCACAGTGTATTCTATTTAGAGAACTAGCACAAATGCCAAAACTCCATGAATGAAAATTTAAATTACAACTTCTATTTTTAGGAAAACTGGGGACAACCTACTCATACTAGCTATTAATAAAACTATTAATATTACACAACACACACACACACTAGCAAATAATGCATTCTGGTTACAGAGTTGTAATTCTTCTTTTGGAATCTTGTGAAATCCAGTTTGATAATGCCAATAACAATGACTTGGTATCTCTAGATGAGTGGTGGCAAACCTATGGTACGGGTGCCAGAGGGGGCACTCAGAGCCCTCTCTGTGGGCACGCGCACTGTCGCCCCAGTCCTAGGCCTTCAGCTGGGTTTTATAAAACCTTTTCACTTTAGGCCTCTGCCACCGTGTGCAAAAAAAAAAAAGTTCAATTAATCAGTCAATTTCAACTTCTTGCAGGGAAAAAAAAAAGATCTTGCAAAGTTTGAATTGATTGATTGAACTTTTTAGTCCCACCCAGTCTGCCGTTACCACTGCAGCCACGCCCATCCAACAGGCCACACCCAGCCAATGGGCCATACCCACCCAGCACCCAACGATGCATAAGTGGGGTTTGGGTTGCAGTTTGGGCACTCGGTCTCTAAAAGGTTCGCCATCACTGCTCTAGATGTTCTACCAAATTTTAATCAGCATGAGAACCACTTAAAGAAAAAAGGCACTGAAAGGAAAATAAATAAATAAGTCTTAAATACGGTTCAAGATATTTGTTCCATAGTACTTAATAGTATTTAAACTCTATAGAATTTAATATTTATTAAGATGTCAAATAGATAATCTTGTCTGAACATAACTATCACAGTAGAATATGGCCTCTAAAATCTGTAAGTCCCAAATGATTTGTGAAGAGACACACAGAAATCCAAAAGCTGGTTGTGCAGTTGGTTTAATTGTTTCTCCATATTCATCACAGGTATTATTTTTGACACAAAATCAATATTCTGTCAGCTCATCCCATCCACATACTTGCGCTGATCATCAGCAAATAACAGCTAGAACTCATGAAAAATGGGGACATAGTTATAATTTTGCAGAGACCAATATGTGCTGATGTACATTCATATGCTCTTCCCTTTTGATATCAGTCAGTAAGAAAGGAACTTCAAAGGGCACACCTGGGTTTCCTATTTTTTTTCAGAAATTGAGATGTTGCCAGCTGTTTGCCTTCAAGGCTGAATGGCTCATTTAGAAACTTTTTTTTTTCATTTTGATTTCTTTTAGGGTATATCTCTTGACATCTCCAGAGTTGACACAAGTCACATGTTATCAAATCTCTGTTCCTGGTGAATAGCATTCAGTCTAATATTCTCTGACTCACATCCAGGTTGTCTACAGAGAGCAATTCTGCTTCCAGACATATCACTGTGTATTCTTACATTAACATTTTGCCAGGAAATGGCTTTTGGCATAATACTACGTTTATCTTTGTTGATATAATGTAAAGTTGATGCTCTTTTTTAAATATTCCCAACAATTCACCTTTGGAAAGGTAATTTTATATTGTTTATAACATTTTTACTTCCTTAAATATACTTTGCCCTTTATAAAAGTGCTTAATTTCTGAAGAAGTTTTAAGCCTTATAGAATCAAGATCACATGAAGTGTTAATACCACTTTATAATGCCTTAGTAAGGCCACACTTGGAATACTGCATGCAGTTTTGGTCACCACGATGTAAAAAAGATGTTGAGACTCTAGAAAGAGTACAGAGAAGAGTAACAAAGATGATTAGGGGACTGGAGGCTAAAACATATAAGGAAAGGCTGCTGGAATTGGGTATGTCTAGTTTAATGAAGAGAAGGACGAGGGGGGACATGATAGCAGTGTTCCAATATCTCAGGGGCTGCCACAAAGAAGAGAGGCTCTGTTCTGGCCCCAATGCTCTTCAACATCTTCATCAACAATCTGGATGAGGGGATAGATGGGGAAATCATCAAATTTGCAGACGACACCAAGCTGGCAGGAATAGCCAACACTCCAGAAGACAGGCTTCAGATACAGGAGAATCTGGACAGACTTGAACTATCAAAATGAAATTCAATGGTGAAAAAAGTAAGGTTCTACATTTAGGCAAGAAAAACCAAATGTACAGGTATAGTATAGAGGGTACCTTGCTCAATAGTAATAACTGTGAGAGGGATCTCGGAGTCCTAGTGGACAATCATTTAAATATGAGCCAGCAGTGTGCTGCAGCTGCCAAAAAAGCCAACACAGTTCTAGGCTGCATTAACAGAGGGATAGAATCAAGATCACGTGAAGTGTTAATACCACTTTACAATGCCTTGGTAAGGCCACACTTGGAATACTGCATGCAGTATTGGTCACCACAATGTAAAAAAGATGTTGAGACTCTAGAAAGAGTACAGAGAAGAGCAACAAAGATGCTTAGGGGACTGGAGGCTAAAACATATAAGGAACGGTTGCTGGAATTGGGTATGTCTAGTTTAATGAAAAGAAGGACGAGGGGGGACATGATAGCAGTATTCCAATATCTCTGGGACTGCCATCAAGAAGAGGGAATCAAGCTATTTTCCAAAGCACCTGAAGGCAGGACAAGAAGCAATGGATGGAAACTAACCAAAGAGAGAAGCAACCTAGAACTAAGGAGATACTTCCTGACAGTTAGAACAATTAACCAGTGGAACAACCTGCCTCCAGAAGCGGTGAATGCTCCAACACTGGAAGTTTTTAAGAAGAAACTGGACAGCCATTTGTCTGAAATGGTATAGGGTTACCTGCCTGTGAGACCTCCAAGGTCCCTTCCAACGTCATTGTCGTCTTCTTCTTCTTCTTCTTCTTCTTCTTCTTCTTCTTCTTCTTCTTCTTCTTCTTCTTCTTCTTCTTCTTCTTCTTCTTCTTCTTCTTTCTTCTTCTTCTTCTTCTCTTCTTCTTCTTCTTATTATTATTATTATTATTATTATTATTATTATTATTATTATTGATCATCGCACAGTCAGCCAGATGTTCAGACTGGATTTGGCATTTTGTCTACCTATCGAGTCCTTACCCAGGACCTGGGATAGGCAGATGTGGATGTTTGATGGTATTACAGATATCGTCGCAGGATGGAAGCAGTTCCTAATAAGGCCGCCTTTTGCAATTGACTAATAGCGAATTTGTCAATGCCAATGGTGTTCAAGTGGTGCTCCAGTTGTTTTGGGATTGCACCCAAGGAGCCTATTACTATTGGTACTACCCTTGCTTGCTTTTGCCACAGTCTTTCTATTTCTATTTGTAGGTCTTTGTATTTTGTTATCTTCTCCAGTTCTTTCTCTTCTATTCTGCTATCTCCAGGCACTGCCACGTCCACTATCCAGACTTTTTTGTCTTTCTTATCGACAATTGTTAAGTCTGGGGTGTTATGTTGCAGGTGCTTATTATTATTATTATTATTATTAT